GTGCTTTAAATTAACCACATGACTGAATCCCATCCTTTTCTTACTTATTACTACTTCGTGTTTCTTCACAAACTACAGGACTTACTTATTTCTTGTCTTCTATATTGAACCTGTACCACAACTTTATAGACTTTGAGAAGGCCTTCGACAGCGCTGACCGTGAAGTAATTTGGAAATTACTCGAGTACTTCGGCGTACCCCAAATATTCATCAACCTTATTCAACAGCTGTACGACAACGGAACATGTCAAGTGATCCACAACGGAAAAATCAGCGAGGCGTTTGGAGTAAACCTAGGAGTCAGACAAGGGTGCTTATTATCACCCACGATGATATTCCTAATTGTGGTGGACTGGATTATGCGTAAGACAGTGAGTGGGAAACGAGAAGACAGGGATATCCTGGACCGACCGAAGTGAAGAACCTAGAAGACGTGGATTTCGCGCGTGGATGATTTATGTTTGACGTCACACACAATCGAAGACTTACAAGCGAAAATCGACGAACTGGTCGGAGAAGCAGCCAGCGAAGACAGGACTCCATGTGAACATATGCAAGACGGAGGTTATGAAAATAACCAACCGACAATAACAGCAGCAACATCCAGCGTCAGTCATCATCAACGAGAGGGATTTGAAGGAGGTCACTTCATTCACTTATCTAGGGAGCACTGTTTCAACTACAGGCAGTCGGAACGGATGAGGATGTCAAATCGAGCGAGAATCGGGAAGGCGAGAAACACATTCTCCACCAATCTGGAAATCTTCATCACTCAGCATCAACAACAAAATTCGCTCGGATTTTCATTACAAACGTCAAGTCAGTCAGTTCTTCTATACGGATCAGAAAATTGGCGGGCGGATCACAAAGAATATTTCCAACAGCCTGTTGCAGACATTTATCAACCAACAACTGTCTTCGCTGGATCAATACTGAAGATCAGATGGCCGGGCCGGAAAGAATCACCAACAAGAAACTATGGGCACAAACAAAGCAAGAACCAGTCGCTAACCAACAAATATGCAGGAGAAAGTGGAGATGGATCGGACACTCGCTGAGGAGACCGCTGGGTGACATCGCGCTTCAGGTCATTGCTCGAGTGGAACCTGAAAGGGAAGCGGCGACTGGGACGTCGGCGCAAGGCTGACGTGGAGGAGATGGTGTGAAGCGGAGTTGAAAGAGTATGGACTAACATGAATACAGGTGAAAAGTACCAATTAAATTCTAAATCAGATAATGTTGACTTTTAGTAAGGTATAACTTCGCCTTTTTTCGGACAGGAATTTCTGAAATATCCAACCAAGTAAAAATAAACATCATAAACAATAACTTCCAGTATATGTGCTAGCACTTGATATGTATCCTTAGTTATTTTGTCAAAACCAAATGCATAGTAAAACGATTATCTACAAGTTCTGGGTTGCACTGTATTTCGCCACACTTTTGCGACTGTGAAATGGGAAGTTATGCAATACAGAATAATGTTCACATTCAGTGTACTTTATATAAGTCAATATTTCTAAAATATTCTTATGGCAGATTTGCTTATCTACACTTAATCTCTTACTGATTGACGTTTTTCAAATGATAACTGTATATATATGAATAGCCATTAATTACCTGATAACCATAAATGACTTTTTGTACAAAAAAAATTACTAAACTCATTCATTTATATGAGAAGTTTATCATATGATAACATGTTAAGTACGAATCAAAAATGTCTCCACTGATTTCATTATGTGGCTGTTAATTTCCCAAATACTAATTAGTGAGGGAAAATGAACGTTTAGCATGTGATCATTATATAACATTTAGATATCATCTGTAACTTGTAACTAAGTTATGAAATATAATAAAGGATCTGTTAACTACCAACAGAGATAAAGAGATTGCTTACCTCCCTTAAAAATGATACCAGATAATATAAACTGTCTAACAACACACAAATTAGAATTATGTCTAGAATTCCAAGGATTCATGTGTTAGAAAATGTTCATTACCTTGATAAGTTCGATAAGTAGCTCAGTCTGCTCACAATCAATGTGAACTTGGGGTTGTTATGAAACGTACCATATATGAATGATGCTACTATTCAGAGTCTCAAACGTGGCAAAAACAATGAAAACATCACTCTTAATGCGATTGACTCAAAAGTGTATGTGCGTCGGTGGCACAGTGGTTAGGACTTTCGCCGACCATGCACATGGTCCGAGGTTCGATCCCCTGCCGACGCACACCTGATATCTATGGTCGGCCTGCAAAATTTGGGCTACCGATACCTATGCTGAAAATTCCATACATGTACCAAAAATACGGTTTGGCATCAAGCTGTAATAAATAAAAGGCTACAGCTCTTGTTCTTCAAAATTTACAAAATTTCATTCGCTCAACGAATACTGGTTAGGCGAATAGCTGAAGATACCAGAGAGTGATGACATCCAAATAGAAAAATTAGATACTGTAGGAGAATTTTCGTTCAAAAGCAGTTATACAACCAGTACCCATAGGACAATTATCTGAAGTTTTGAAAGAACTGATAAAACTTGTAGATCAAGTGTGTTTTTGTATTCATTGAGCTTGATGATTTAATTGCTCGGAAAACACAACCACACAAAAATCTTGGCTAACACTACTCACCTGTGTTTAAAATATCAAGTAACTATTGTTCCTCTTATCGTTAAGATAAAGACCGTTTAAATTCAAGGTATTAAATATCAAGTAAATAACATTTATCCACCATTTATGACTGATATGAGGCGAAAATATTTGTGAGATAATGCAACTACTTATACAAACAAATAGTAGGCATGGTGATTAAATAAAAATAGTGCGACACACCTCATTTTGACTCACGCATTATATATATATAATTCAAGTGGAATGTCGAAACCAGTAAGCTGAGATACGTTTCCTACCACTCTCCAGAACAGATATACATATATACGAACTTCTAGTAAAATACTGGAAGTATTCAAGTAACTAGGCTATGCTCAATACTCCATAACTGTTTAGATAAAGTACGCCAACAATTGTACTGAAAAAGGCCATCTGAAACTACACAGAATAAAAATCAATACAAACCTCTGGAACCAATTATCTCAATCCCAATGTATGATACTTATAATTACATCATCAGGTAATAAAGTCGTTATGATCTGCTCTGTTGTGACGCTTTGAATCGTCATATTCATCAGAAATTAAGGTGAATGTCGAAAAATACAACATTCTGTTGAAAAACCTAACAGTTACCTGCATTTCATTCGCTATTAAAACAGAAAGTAACTTCAGAACAAATGACTTTCGATTCTTGTGCAGACGCTAGTTAGCATCATACTAAGTGGAAGACAACATAAGGCATAATATAAATAAGTTACATTTGAAGCTGAAACAAAATTATGTTGGGAATATTACCCTGGTCATGTTAGGATAATCTAATGCAGTTTTAAGGGATACAGTAACCAGGTTTTAAAGGTAGAAATGGAATTTATTCATCCATACTCAACAGCATCTAGTAGCAATCTCTATCCATGACAGAAATCTTAAGCAGGTCACTTCTCTCATATGATTCATATCTGGATGGCTTTGCTTCAACTGCAGGCTGCATGAATGAGGATAGCAGAGTGGACCAGAATCAGAAAAGGAAGACAGATCTTCAGGAACCTAAAATCACTGTGGAAATCTGCTGCAATGAGCATAAGGAACGTGACTCAGATTCTCGCAACTAATGTTAAGTCAATGTTTCTACATAGTTTAGAGACTAGGCGCGAGCCTCTGCAAAATCATTTAGAATAGGCTTCACATATTCATCTACAGCTACCTACACTCCATACTGTAGGAACTCTGGCAGATAACGAACTAATCAAGAACCTTTTGCTTAAGGAAGGTACCGAAGAAAAAGGTGATGGATCGGACACACTCTAGGGGACCACTGGGTGACACCATGCGCCAAGCCCTCGAGTGTTACGCGAACGGGAAGTGAGTAATGAGTTGATCGTGAATCCAAGGGTGACGTGGAGAATATCGTATCAGGAAGAGATAGAAGCTTATGAGCAATTATAGAACAGAATAAAGGTGACTACAGAAAATAAAGTGAAACTGAGATGTGTTGTTGAAGCTATAAGCTCTACTCAGAATATTAAGAATAATAATGTATTCAAAGTCCTCTAGGGCGATATTCAGTGAAACTCGGTTTCTCACAGTGGAGCAATAGTGTGAAGATGCCTGGTACCCAGGATTAATAAAGTGATCGAAAAAACAGTCATTGACATTCTCTCCACCGGCTAGCCCTTTGAGTACAAATACAACTTTTGCAAAAGCTTCGTCAGAAAAGGAAAAATTTTCTTCTCTCTTATGTCTTCTTCCAATAATTATCCAGGAAAATTTACCTTCAATCACAACTAATCTGAGACTATTCTAGATAGCTTCAGTGTAGATAACAAACATCATTTAGTGTGATGGCTTGACTGATTTATTCCAACCTCAATGTTAAACGATTACAAATGTGATTCAGTGAAATATATATGGCTTAAAAGATGAAAAACTGTTAATCAACAATTTTTTTAAAGATTCTCTTCCAACAGGACATGCATTTCTAATCAAAAAATATAAGAGAAAGTTTTTGAAATGAAGAAAAAACTTAAGACCTATAAAGTCAGTTGAAAAAAAAGTAATTAAGAGAGTGATAATAACTGCCGTCACATAAAAGGATCTCTCTCTCTCTCTACATGTACATGCACACAGATACTAATACACACCAAACTTATGTGTTCAATGAGAAGATAATTATACAACTTAACATGAACAAAAGAAGGAAAGAAAAGTTATAGTGAAAGCTCAGTCATAATGTCCTATCACAGAATAATTTATCCCATTTTTTTGATGTGTAACAAACAATTAAGTGTGACACTAATGGAATTATAACTGATAAATTTCAAAGAATCATAAGAATAGGACTTTGAAGTAAAAACGAACAAATAATAATTATTACAGGGTGTTTTTCTTTCTCAATGAAAATTATTTTCACAGAAAAAATGAAATAAATAAATCACACTAGTAGTTGATTCATTTACATGGATAATCGACTGAATTGTTCATAAGTGATGAAGAATACAATAGTCCATGGGCCTAAACGAAGCCAGTTTGGAATAAAACCCTTCCATAAAGCTAATATGCCTTCGTTTTTTACTGTCTGGAAAACCAAAAACACAATTTAATACAAACAATACTTGCTTAATTCAACAATTAGCATAAAATTCATTTTATTCAGAATAAATAATCTGTAGGCTGTCATAATCTAGATTATAGGTAGCCAACCTTGTTCAAGGGGAACTCTTTAGTAAGTTCTATCCACCATACTTAGTGTAATTCCATAAACGTGAATTTCATGTGGGTGCGTCTTTGGTGTCCTAACAGAATACCAGCGAGTCACACAGGACTCCAGAATTCTACTCATGTCCAACTTACTTGTTTGCCTCACCTAGTTTATTAGCTATTGATAAGTCTGGATAGGAGATTTGAAAGTGGGACTGGTAAATTCACCCTGTGAAGACAACACCTGTGTTACTGAAGATCATAAAATTCTACGCTTCATATGGAAATTAAAGGATAAAAAATGAGAATAATAACCACAATAATAATAATGGTAATATTAACAGTGAGTTTGTTTCAAACAGTATAGTTGATACAGTATGGAAATTTCAGCATGTTATAGAGTATTGAATCTAATGTTCTCTTGATATAGAATGGTGAGGGCCTAAATGGTGTTTATACACTTATGAAAATAAATGAGAGGACTATAAGTACAATAGGAATAGTAACAGTGAAGTTTGATGGTATAAGGGTGAAGAAAATTGTTGATTTACTAGTAGTAAGATGGTTAGTTAGTTCGTGTCTGACACACAAAATACGTACCAAATATAGTATTGTGGAATTCTTACACTCAGACGTTTGGGCATAAAGTCTTTTGAAATGAATTCTCGTCTCACCTAAGGGGATACAAGTTGAAAGCTGCTGGTAAAGTGGATGCTCACAGTTTGACAAAATCCCTTTAGCAAATCTGTTGCATAAAATCAAGTGCCTATCAATGACTATATTGACGATATGGCCCGATGGGATACCACTCACCCTTTTGAAAGTCTTCAGAGTTCTATGAAGTATGACACAGGCTTTCTTAAGTAACGCAGGGAAGAATAAGGATGAACAATGAAGAAGAATAGGTAAGATGCAAGAGTTGACAAACTGTAAGAGGAAGGGCTGGGTTATGTCCGAGTGCCTTAACTTCTAAATGTAAAAGGTCAGATGGAATACTTTTTAGAAATTGCTAAGAAACGGGAAGATCAGGATAGATCAAAAGAGAGAATTAGTCCAAGATGCTTAACGTAAGACTTGATTTCTAATTCAGTACCATCGATTTTGCAACGGTCATGGGAGTCAGCAACTTCATTTGACTTTCTTTTACATCGGAAACTGAAATTAACCGTCTGACATTTGGAATGATTTACCTTAAGAGTATTAGGTTTTAAAGTATTTCAGTATCAACAGATCACGTTTCAGAAGTGACTGACTGATACAGTCACATACACTGACGAATAGAAGAGATCATACATTTCAGTTAATATTCCACATTTAAAAGTATACCTTTGTGACTTTTAGTGCTGCTCTGCTGAAAACAATGACTTTAATGTCACTAGAACCTCCAATGAGGGCAGAGTTTTGTAAGTTACACTATCTGAAGTAGATTTACAAGTGATGGTTAACTGAGGTAGGAAATGACGTTTAAGTGCATATGATGAAATATCTTGCAACTTTTGTTAAACAATACCTGTTATGCAAGATAGGACTCAAAATGTAACTTTTGAACTGAATGAATGGTTATCATGTAAAAAAAGCGAATACGACTTGATGCTGCTTTCCCTACCGTATAGTTTAATCAGTCTGATTGTGTATAATAAATTTTTTTTAATTGTTTCATTGCTGAGGTGTTCTCAACTAGCATGTTTTTTTCGTTGGCAATCCCTTATCGATTACAAACATTAAACAAAACTTGTAAATACAAAGGAGCTTTTTGAAAAACCTAAGTATCTTGAAATAAGTAGCTAAACACCTTACCTTGTATACCGAATATTTCGAAATACTAACAATAATAACTGCAATCTTATTTAAGTCCTAAACATTTCATCTTAAAGAAAGGGTATTCAGCGAAGGGTTGCTTTTTTCAGCTATATCATTCTCAATCTGTATATAGAAGTTTGTTCAGTCACTTTACGTACAAGCTGGTGTTCCTCAAGGTGCTGTCCTTTCTCCTTTCTTGCATGACTTGCCTCACTGTGATGAAATAAACTTTGTGAAGTACGCTGATGATTTAACAGTTTCAATGGCTGTTAACTCCCAGCTAGATTGTACCAAAATAAATAGCTTTCTGTCGGGAGTCAGTAAATGGTCTGAGTCTAACGATCTTAAAACTGAATCCTTCTAAATGTCAAACTGTTAATTTCAGCTTAATATGTAAAAGACAGTTAAAATAAGTCATCGATTCTCATGACAGTTGTAAGACTGACGACAATGATATAGGAATCAAATCAGAAATTAAGTATCTTGGACTTATTCTCTCTTCTGATCTTCCCATGTCTTAGCGATCTCCAGTAAAATATTCCGCCTGACATTCTACATTAAGAAGTTAAGACACTCGAGTATAACTTAACCCCTCCTCTTACAGTTCATAAACTCTTGCATCCTACCTATTCTTCTTTATTGTTCACCCTCGCTTATTCTTTCCTGGTGTGCTTAAAAAGGACTATGTCACAATTCGTAGAATGCTGAAGACGGTCAGTATGGTGAATGGTGACCCAGTGGACCACATGTTGTTATCGATAGGCACTTGACTTCGTGCAATAAATTTGCTAAAGGGATTTTGTCTGACTTGGAGCATCCGCTTTACCCTCAGCTTTCACCTTGCATCTCCTCAGGTAGAACAAGGAGTAACTTCAGAAAACTGTATGCTCGCACGTCTAAGTGTAGAAATTCTATGATACCGTACTTGGCACGTATTTTATGTGATGAAAATAGTGTCAGACAAGAATTAACTAACCTTTTTTCATCTAGTAAATAAACATTTTCCTCCATCCATCCTTATATACCTTCAAGTTTTACTTTTATTTCTTCTATTATATTCATGGTCCTGTTGCTTCTTTGTTTTACTCTCATAATTGCAAGCACCATCTTGTCTCTATAACTGCGGTAATCTTTGTTTTTCCCCTCGCCATATCATATAAAGAGAACAATATATTCAATATTTTTAAACATGCTAGGATTTCTATACCACATTGCCAATACTGTGTGTAACAGGCCCACGGCAATTTTTCACTTGTATTATTATTATTACCTTAGCTGTTATTATTATTATTTCCATTTTATATGTTGCATGTTTCTGACGTTACTCCTATTGTAAATGTGGAAGATTTTCTGTGTGGTTAATTTTATCTATAATTTGAGGATATTAGATGCAAGGTGTTGTAATTAATGCTGAAAATTCCATTCCGTATCACAAATACTGTTCTTGGAATAAAGTAAATCATTATTATTATTGTTATTATTATTACAATAGACCTATTTGTCTTAACAGTGGACGCTTAATTTTTTTTTTAATTTTAAAATTTAGTTTCTTAATTATGTTACTTTTATCCCCTTGCCGCACACTATTACACTTCCATTCCTTGTGACTCTCATCTTGACTCTCTATCGACTTTAGTTGACTTTACGAAGCCCCGTGAATACATTACGCCGTGAGATTTACTTATTCTATTTTGGTTTCGACTCAATTAACGCCTTCTGTATAGCGTAACTGTTGTCCAAGACTTACAGTTCTAATGACACTTCTTTGGAAGCATTTGTTTTGTTGCTATAATAATTTACTATAAATACTCGATTGTACAACTAGAGAATGATGTAGCCGAAAAAAAATCTTCACTGAATGCTTTTTTGTTTATATTTTAGTTTTTTTAACATTATTATATTGCCATCACATTGCATTTTATGTTAAAAATTACAGTTGTGTTACTCTTATATCAGTGAAAACCATGGAACACTGAACAGCTTCTTTATTCTAGCTAGGGCTTCTTCAGCAGTTCTCATTACTACCTCAACAGGGAGGTTTAAATTTCAATCACCCATAAAACTATATCAACAGCTGACAGAAGTATCAATTCACATATCTAAATCAACATATTTTATAACTTTAAGAGTTATCAGCCATTCAAAAAAGAGCCTAGTCTACCTTAAATCATATTATTTTGAAAGCACTTGAAATAATCCATTGAGGCTCAAAAGAAAATATAAAAGACAATCATTTTTAAATGGCTTACTTCAATTAGACAACCAGTAGCACTAGTATAAGTTCCCTGTGTAGGTTTACTGCCATGTAGTGCTGTTTCATCATAACGTTGATTCATATATCTTGTCTATAAGTAAATAAATGTAAAACAATTTTTTATTAATGACTACCAATAGCGCCAGATATTTGTATACTCAGTTTTTAAAAGTCTCAATAGGAAATGAATTTTTGACCGCTTACATGGTGCTTTAGTACAAGAAAGTAAATATTTTGCAATTTTATTCAACAATAATAAATGAACTAACTGTTAGAAGTGAGTCAAAGCACAGAGTCTACTATTTACTCTACTTCTTTTAATACTGTTCAATATTGACTAATTTAAATTTCTTGAAAATTAGAAAATGCAAAGATGTAAAATAAAATCTAGTTTAATAACAAAACAAAAGTATACACAGAATAATGAAGTAATAGTAAATTTATTGCAAACAGTACATTCGATACATTGTGGAATTCTGTGCATGTAGTACAATATTCCAAATGATTTTCTCTTTACATTACATAGTGAGAGGGAAAATAATTAACACATCATTCACATTAATACTGGTGTTGATAACGCTTTTGTTAACTAGCAAACGTTTTTAACATTAAACAGAAGCCTTCAGCATTAATAATGATAATAATATCACAGAAAGTTAAGTAACTGAATTCTAAAGGGGGGGCATAAGAACTCACGGTACTGCCCCATCTTTTGTATCTAAAGTAACTGATCTAAATCTCTTTAATTGGTGGATCGTGACTAGCAGTGGAATCCAGGATGCACATTTCGTCCCATTTGGGACTCGTCAGCTAGATGTACCTGCATTTCTCAGTGAGTGATGACGTTCCCACCGAAGCTCGAACCCAGTACCCATAGTTTCAAACGCCATAGCGTTATCCACTAAACCACTTGGGCCACGAGAGCCGACATGTCAACATGAGACCGAGCACTTCAGTCCAGTCAGTCGATGGGAAAATCTTAAATTAAATTTAATTAATATGACCTGTTGCACAAGAGGTGGCTGTCGTGGCCCAAGTGGTCTAGTGGATAACGCTTTGGCGTTTGAAACTGTGGATACTGGGTTGGAGCCTCGGTGGAAATATCATCACTCACTGAGAAATGCAGGTACATCCAGTTGACGAGTCCCAAATAGGACGAAATGCGCATCCTGGATTCCACTGCTAGTCATCATCCATCAACTAAATACTAACTAAATACCCAGATATCGTCGAAGCATCTTCACAAGAAGCCGACATGTCAGCATGAGACCGAGCACTTTGATCTACATCTCTACCTAGATACTTGACAAGTACACTGGGATTCCAAATCAAAAATTACTGTTGTAAATGTTTGAGATATTGACAACCTAATATTGAAACCGAATTTCTGGTAAAAACTAAGCGATTAGAATCCACTGACTTACTCTTATAACATCAACAGGGTTTGCAGCAATCGCTGTGAAAAATCCAGCTGTGAAACTGGAACTAGATAAACAAAAAGTAAACAATGAATTTTGTTGAAAGACGTCATTTATCAAGATATTGAACAACTGAAACTATGTGTAACTTTTTTACTTTGTTCTTGAAACAAAACAATCACGAGCAAAAAAACTACTTCAGAGAAAACAATCAGCTCGGAAACTGATAATATAACTATCACAAATGATAGTCAAATATGAACTCATAAATGTGGCTATCTAGTGTGTCATTGGATTAGCTTCCTAATAAGTGAGACATAGATAAATTTCAGTACAGAATCTACCTTGACACTTTTACTGACTACCACTCTCCCCCAACACCGTACAGGCCCTGGTGAAATTGTAATATTCACTGTTTTTTATGACATTTGTAGGATATAACAATAAATCTTATACATTATGATTCAACGTAAAAGACTCGTTAAAACGTCATAACACATGATTAACTTATTCACGTGCAAGTAAACGGAACAAATTTATTCTAATAAAGAAATTCCATGTTCCTGTAAGCTGAGTTTTTAAATCACTTGTAATCCTTAGAAGAATATATCATCATATTTAGAGCGATGGCGTATAGGTTTCAGTCTCACTGATGAAATAATTACTTATTCTGAAGCGCGCATTCAACTAACAAGTTCCACTGAAGATCACTATCAGAGTAGAATATTAAAATAGAAATAGTAATATACCAGTTGACCTACATCAGAAAATAAGCCATTCAACTCAAGTCAATGGAATAAAATTAGTGGAACCTGCAATATCCAATAAAATTGATGACCATAATAACTCTGCACTCTTCTTTATTTATATTATTTATGTTTAAGAACATGGTTTGCCTAGTAGCTGTGAAATTTTCTTTTAATCAATAATGACCAGCACTGAAAATCAAGAATATGACAATTAAAGTGGTACATTCAACAAATTAACAGTTAAAATATCCCATATGGAGCAGGTATCAAGTGCAAAAATCTGGAGGAACTAGAAAGGGAAGTTATTGTCGTGGAAATCTTGATATATATATATATATATATATATATATATTTATTTATTTTTTTTATTTTTGATTACAGCTTGATTCCACACTGTATTTTTGGTACATGTATGGAATTTTCAGCGTGGATATTGGTAGCCCAAATTTCGCAGGCCGACCATAGATATCAGGTGTGTGTCGGCGTGGGCTCGAACCCCGGACCATATGCATGGTCGATGAGAGTCCTAACCACTGTGCCACCGACGCACATGTATATATATATATATATATATATATATATATATGTGCAAAAATATTCTAAAAATCAATTTCTTAAAAACTACTTAAATAGATTAGCTTCAGAGTCCACCATCTGAATACGATACCTCGGTCGCTGTTAATTTTACGATATATCACGAAGTAATGAGGAGTTCATGTCCATGGACTGTCGAATTCTAACCCCATGACTGAATGGGAAAACACATCCACCAAGGTTGAATTATAGGCACACTTTGATGAGAGGCAAAAACTAAAGCAGTTCAATACTTATACGAGTTTGTAATGAGAGTCGCAAAACCCTGTTCACCATCGCAGGATATTTTTCAATACACTAGGGAGAATCTTCCAAACTGGTTACATTTTACAACTTCACGATTAAACTCTAAATTTTATTTGAAATTATTCCCAACTGACTATATTTTCATGCCTTATCTTAATTAAAACTTACACAAAATGACATCCTTTTGTATCCTGCATTAAGCCTGAGGAAATGAGATGACTTTTAACAAAATAATATGAAGGTATCTCGACACCACATACAACGGCTGCACGAATGCATGTTTGATAAACACCCTAATAAAAGAAACAATAATCACTTTATGTTAACAGAAATTATTTCATCTGTAAGGAAAAACGATTTTTAGATAGAAGTGTACACATCATATACAATGAGAAATATCATTAATATCTGCTTATTTCACATGATACTTCTTGAAAGTTAAGTTTATAATTGTAGCATCGGCAAAGCTCAAATATTTATATTTTCCCTATCGTTTTCAAATCATGTATTATTTAACATAGACCACCACTCTATTCATGACACTGAATAATATGATGAATACATTTTAAGTGGTATGAAACAACATAAAAGATGGGATCTGTTGACACGGACAAAGGTAACATAGAAGAAGAATGAATGAATGGAATCATATAAAAATATGCATTTAGAATTACTAAAATGGTGAGTAGCAGACACCTATGTACTTGATGTATTTAACTTGAAGATAATGTCTCTGTCTGTCTGTTTTCGACATAGAACTTTGCACCGATGTGCGGCAGTTCAAGTCGTCCCACTCCATGTAGAACACAAAGCAAGAGAAGAAATGCATAACAGAGACAGTAAACACAGGAGTGAGACAAAGGAATAGTAATGACGAAGAACAATATAGTTTCATTGGAAATCATAAGTCACAAGGAGTGGATGCATCTGGACCAGCCATTGAGAACGATTTTGAGCCATATCACTAATTGTTTCAAACCACTGATTTAAAGATACACTAAGAAGACCGTTAATCCTCTGGTTTTAACTACTTTAACTGACTTAATTGCTTTAGATCTGATATGGTACATTCAGCCTTCGCAACCTCCTCAGCTGACTAGCCCTTTTAGTCTAGTAATTAACATATTTTTTGAAATTACTCCAAATTTCTTGTTGATTGAGTTAACTGAAGCGGAATGTTTAATCTCTCTGGCATTTAACATAACATAACATAAGCTTTATTCCAAATCAGTACTTGTGATACAGAATGGAATTCTCAGCATTTTACTACAATATTGCATCCAGTTTTTTACATTAACAATAAATAAAGTTCTACATAGTTTAAAGTTATCTCAACAACATATTAGTACGTCAGTAGCAAAGCCAAAATTAAAGTGTTTGAAGGTGTTAGAAAAGTAGATACTACTAGCATATTTACTGGCGTAAGCGATAGCAAAATGTTCGAGATGTACAGAGCGTGAAAGAACGAACAAGAATGTTTTAAGTAGAGTTTCGGTTCCTAGTACAAAGGCTTCGATTATAATTTATATATAACAATCTATAAATTGGCCGGTTATAACTACTGGTGGAATCCACAACTTGAGTCCCCAACAGAAGGAAATGCATGTCTTTAATCCTTCTGATAAGCTCTGAATGTTGACTGTGAATTTATGATCACTATAGTGTGTTCACACGGTGTCTTTTGCTTTTCATGATTTAAATCCAGTCTGCATCAAATCTCAGTATTAATTCGCATGTGTCAAAAAGTGATGTTACATTTCCTCCTGGAGTATTTCTCGACTGAGAATGAACAGTTGCTTAACTTTTGAAGAGATAATTTACTGCGTTTTCTGATTCTAAAGAAAGCCTTTATACGTAAATAACACAAAATAATGAATGATTAGGTATAAGCAATTATAATATATTAATCATTCTACGAAGAATAAACTCTGAGTATTTGGATTATAAGATTTATAAGCCACACCAGAAGGAAAACACTTCATTAGTCATATTAGTATGGCACCAATTCACAGTTTCCACCTAAAATTTAAAAATTAATAACATATATACAACAAAGAGGCTACATGAACTGTGTTGCCAAAGATAATGCATTATTAAGACTGTGAATTATACGACCAAATTCTCCTATGTATTAAAAATTCAAAATAACAATAGCACCCTGTGCTATAAACTATCATGCATTCTAAAATACCTAACCTATGCGAATATCAAGAACTTTCTGACAAATTCTATCGATTGACTACAATTTCACTGATTTTAACTACGTCACTTACTTTATACAACCCTAAAAATCCTTCTTCATTTATAGTTTTGCGCAGGATGCCTAGTAGAGACGGTTTACCAGAATCCAACAACACATGAGCTTGTAAACGAACCTGTAAAATTCAATAAAGAAGGCAATGTTTTTGGTTTTTTCAAAAGGTATATGTAATTTGATAACTATGGTAGCTGGACATTAAGATGTCTTCAAAAGTACTATTTTACCAGAGATAACAGACTGTACGTAGGTTTAAAGCAAAATCCATCTGTTATAAAGCACAGCCTTTTTATACTCCATTTTCCGTCAGTTTATTATTTTGATATTTAACCACTAAACTCCATTTAGGACTCAGTCACCTGGAATATATTTATCACGTATCTCAATGTGCCAGACTTATTGTGTAGAAACTTATAATATTCTTCCGTTGCACTGGTCGAACAAAACGAAGCAGAAGTCAAATCTGGAGTCTGCTAGTTAAACGCCAAGTAGTCAATGAATGAAACTTGAATTCAACACCTCGAAGTTCCTTGCATGTTAACTCTGCGAGTCAAAAAACGTCGAAATGAAGCACTAAATAAAAATATGCAAACTCTTATGATGTTTGCACACAATTAATTCAGAATCTGTAACTCGACAATGATAGAGAAAGAAATGAAAGCTTCTTTATTGCATACACCTCAGTAGTATAATCCCAGTTCTATAAACTTACCATATACTTCTGCAAATCACAAGAAAAACTCAGTATAAGGAGTGCATAGAGCAGACACGTTGTTTAATCGAAATTCTTGAACGGATCCAAGTTTTTTACCTAAGAACTTATATATAACTTCAACATTTCTTATTCTTTAGTCTGATCCCACATCAAAAACCAGTTATTTTGTGTTACATACTTCTAGTAGCCATTCTTTACTGTTGTGAATTAGAAACCAAAATGCTGCACACTATGTGCATCCTGTAGTGGGCAGCCATATGCTCCTTCAAGAGCAAAGGAAACGCAAAGTGAAGAGCATCAAACCAGCTTTACATGGACACACTGAGATTTCACCACAAATCAGTCCATGAAGACTGCTAAGAATTCTCAAATAATTAAGTTGATGAGGACCAGCCCTGTTAAACTGCCTTATATTTTATAGGGGCACTATATATACTACATAATCTCACCTAAAGTCAGCGTTTTCATCCGAAAGAATTGCAGGAAATTTCTACTGTGAAATACTAAGCTTCTTTCCTACCAAATGTCAAATTCAGAGTTGCCTGAATCAGTTAAATTTATATGCATTAGTAAATCCACAAAAAGTTAGATCCCAGATATGGTATTGACAATCTCTGAGACATGTGACCGCTTTCATCAATTTTCTGATAACTCGTACACAGTTGCTTAAGATCGGACAAAGTGACCTGAATAGTTGACGTACTCTCTCATCAATGCCTTCACAGACAGGTATCGATAAAACACCTTTCATTCACCGGATGAAATGACGCTTTCGTGTCTATAAAATTCCATATGTCAGATGCTGGTAATTTGCATCTCAAAACCCTTTATGAGATGGAGGTAGGTCGCCTGCACTTTATTCCATGGCCTCAACTCTTGTGGTTGATTACGGCTGGTTTTATAGAGCCCCACCTTCTCTTTGCACAACTATGAATTCGTGGATATTAGGCATCAAATCAAGGTTTGTCTAACGTTTCCAATCAGTGGTCAATTTAAAATGTCTATTTGTACTATGCAAAATTGTTTACACCTTGTGTAACCTTATTACTGAGAGTTGTTCCCAGCCCTTAGTTTTTGCTTCTTTGATACTGTTATCGATACATCCTAAGGCGATGTGCAGTTTTGTAATGATTGCGAGCTTTATTTACCTGTTTATGCCTGACTTTTAAAGAGTTGTGTATCCACAGTGATAATATTAGTCTCTTAGTACAAATAACTGTCGATATCTTAAGTACTATATCTGCATCAAGATCTAATCAACCACTTCAATATCTGACAAATTATCGTAGTAGTTTTGAATGGGGTTTTAGCCAAAACTGCGGTTTAGGTATCTGCATTTGCATTCAAAGTTATTTCCTCTTAACACGCACTAAAATCTGACTTGACTTTGCTTAGCCTTTATGATGAATAATCCTTCGGGAATTCGGAAAAGTTTGGAGTGTTAAATTTTGCAGAAAACAGTATACACTGAGAAATGTAACATCATTTTGACTGTCAGTCCATTGCCTATGACGGAGCAACCATTCATTTAAATGAATGGGTATTTGCACATTCACTTCCGGAAACGATTTTCAGATGATTACTTAGATAAGTAAAAGCTCAGACATAAATGTTAGACATGTGAATAATCCTAAATATTTAAGGAGTCTTAACCGGAACTCAAGAAATATTCCAGAATGATACACAGCTATTTCTATAATGCCTAGTTGAACTCCAGAAGGAGGTAATATATTAACAGTTGTTGTGAGTTGATAAAAATAATCAGCACGAAATGTAAACTGAATCCTTTTCGTTTTACCTTCATCAGATCGGTTGGACTAGCAATCGCGTTTGAAATGACACCTGCAGATGCAGCACAGAAAACATCCATTGCTGGAGTCCCACCTTATAAATTCTATCCTAACATACATAAGAAACACTGAAGTACCCATTGGATATGAAGACAGACTTCTTTTTAAGTGATTATACAAACCCATTTTCAGAGATCCATAAGATATTTGGCGAAGTAGTGCAGCACTTAACCTGTGAGAAACTCAAAATAACTATCGTCCAATACCCTCTGTATATAGAGGTAACTCCCTCATATTTTATCACGGTGTAAAAGCAGTGAAGAAACCCTCGATACGGTCCTCCGCGAAAAGTTACTGAACTCCCAGAGATGACTTCCCCTTGTAATTGTAATCGAGTCTTTATTGCATCCATCGGGAACGTGGCTTATCAGTTAAGTATTAAACCTTAAAGCCCACCTATTTCTGCTACAACAGATGCAGACCCTCCGCAGAGAAAAGGTCTCAAACCACGGTTATTTGAATCCATAATGAGCAGCGCGGTAATTTGCGCATCTCTACAACCTGATACAGAGAAACAAAATATCTTAGTTGCCACATAGAATCCTTTGAGAAACTTTACTCCGTAGCTTTAATTAACTAACGAATAGCTATCAAAACAGTAGAATATTTTGCAGAATATGGGGTCGTCAAACTTCACCGATTTCTCGCATATGATCAAATATCCAGTATCTTTTTTACGAACTGGTGAAAATATGCACCGAAAATTGATCTGATAGTGGAATTCTAAACTTTCTAGTTTTTTGTACCCATCGTTCTTGAAGCGTCAGGGAAGTTACTACTGAGTTCGCATCTTAGTTGTCAAATAAAGGTTCTAGGGGCTGGGAAATGCGTAAATGGATTATTCCATTCGGAAAAGACCAAGTATGGGTGTTCGAGTTCCAGATTTGAAGCGGTTCTAGAGGATTATAATGCTGACATTCTTTCTTCTCCGGCTCACCGGTATGCACAATGTTTCAATGTACATTTGCTGACTGGACTCTGTGTACCACCTATATGATCTATTCCACGAGAATAAGTAACCTGGTAATTAAATACTGAAGTGGTCTGAAGCATCGAGTCCACAGACGTATTTCGTAACACTATCTAGCCTGATTAGTCAGTAAGGAAAGAACACCAGCAATTCCATCTGCGAACACCTCGTAAACTGTAGTAAGTGCGCACCTCTGAATGGTTGCCCAACGGCACTACACAGAGTTTCCTCTTAGCACAAGATAAACTCCGAACATGCAGTTTATACACAGCTGAATAACTAGAATTTCGAGAGCTGAAACCTGACCTCTGTGTTCAGAAACATTACAGACGAACAGGTCAGAAACCTGTCAGAATCCCTATTTCGCTCCGCACGAATGCTGTCAAATATGAATAGCCTCGCCATGGGTAGTTCCCTAATTATGAAGGAAGCCAGCAACTAAAACTGTCTGGACTAATAGTGATAGAGAAGATCACGGTAACGGTAAGAATTCATACAGTATTCCGAAGAGCAATTTACCCGGGAAAATTATGTTGAAGGAAATATACTGCGGTCACCACATTGTTTGCTGGCTTTGACGAAACAGTCACACCAAAAGACCAAATTCTCCCATGGTGAGTTGGATAAAAGTCCAAAGCTTTGAGAAGGCTTCGAAATTTTTCTCCGACACTATGGTTACCCATCGCTGAAACACAAAGAGCATGATGACTGAACAAAATCACTCGTGGTTAACAAGGGCTACCTTGACAAACTCCCATCTAATGGTGACTGAACTGGGGTGGAATCATTCTATACCAATTTGTTCATTGCCTATATCATAGGCTGAATGACTCTTCAGATCGCAGTATTGCCTACACCACACTGGACCTACCATAAACTCTTAGGTCATTCATAAGGGGGTTAGTGACTGGGGAATTATCCAGATACGTGATTGTGAGCTTCTTTTCTGTATCAAACTGAATCGAATGATAAATTTCCTGCGGTATGCTTAACTCGCTATAACTGTTGATCAGTGTGCTTATGAAATACACATTCGACACTAGCTGCTATCTTTCCACACCCACTGTCAATTGTCTGCTTCATAGTTACATTGATACGAGTGTTGGTAACTAAAAGCTAATGAGTTGTTGTTTTTCACCGAAGTTTGCACCTGAAAATGTTAATGCCCCTTAAACTATTCCTATGACATATGAATAATATCAACTGTGTGCCAGCATCATTATGCCTACAATCTTGGAGTTCAGCCAATTTCACTGATTCAGGGTTTCTAAAAATTGGGTTGATGAATGTATGGTGTCAAAATATCCTGACCGGCAAAGTCGTGGCCTAGATTAAATGAATTCTTAGCCTGACTTACCCTAAATTTGTAAACAAACTGCTTTTAACATTATTCAAGTAGTGAAGGAGTATCGTGGGACCTCGGTAACACTACTATCTCCGACAGGTGGTCAATGATCAAGGAAGACATGAGGGCAAAACAAGCAGCTAAGTAGGAACTATATCTTCTCTGTGACTTGTAAGGTCCTTTTCCTCTTTTGAGCGATGAGTGACTTTCTATGTGATTAAGTAGAATTCCCCCACTTCCGTTGCCGACCATCGGCGCACCGACAAGAATATATGCTGAAAATCAACTGCTGTCTACCACCACATTCGATATTGGTCGGTAATTTTGCGTTCATCTTAATATTATAGCAAGTTGCTATAGTATCACACCAGAGAATTCTCTGATGCCATTCTATCTAAGGTAATGCTGAGAGGATATAGGAATACATCAACCCCACACGCCCTTGTTCATTCAAATCTCTACCATTTGTGACACCTTTTTGAATGCAGGCAGTAAAAGTAAACTAATTGAACGAAGATGGTGAAAGATTCAAAGCCTCAAAAACTTCGTAAATTTTTATAGCACTCTACGAAAAATAATGATCTGAATATTAAAACAAAGTAGAATTTTCACTAGTGTCGTTTGACAAAATTTTCACTCTGAATATAAAACCCAACATAACTACAAACATTGAAGCAAATAAAAGTTTCATTGTAGGAAATAACAATGTACAAGTGACAGAAACAAGTTTTCGCTTATTTAACAATTATAAACTGGGTGTCACATGAGACAAATTACTACTGTGGGCGACCGAACTAATTAGCGAGTTCAACTGAACCTTAGCCATTCCGATAACAATTTGTTTGTTTATTTGTGTTGATTGAAGCATTGCGGACGATCAAACTTTTAAAAGACAACGTCGCGGTTAGTGCGATGTGGTGCGAGCCCGCGTCTCTATATTATCTACATACTTTGGTTAACAAATGCATCCTTGAACAGTAGTAAGTAGTGTACCCTCCCTTCACTAGTTTCGACCGTGCTAGGAGCAGTCCAAGCACCAAGTTAGGTGGGCCAGACTAAGAAGCCAGCAAGCAGTGTGACAAAACCTCAGATATAGCAAGACAGACAGTCACACTGCAATCAAGAACGTTATTTCTAGTTGGAATCAACCAGAAGCCAACTCAAAGTCGTCCATATGGTGTGACTAATTCGCCTTCTTGAAGATTGTATACTCATATCGTGCCCTATCTACTGTTTCTCTCCTATGCGTACACTAGATAACCTTGTTATTCATCTCAGATTTGGCGAACAATTTGATTCAGTCATTACCCTCTTTGCGTTTGAACTTTGGGTAACCACTTATAAACAGACTTCTCCATCAAAATAACCATCCCAATTACCTACCGGCAGCTCGCAGCAACGTAGAAGACCAATGGTGTTTATAAACCCTTATTTTGGAAAACCCGGGGGAAGACAGGTGAAGCGGGAAATAACCTAGTCAAAAAATGGAAGTGTTCATCACTCAACAGATTCAGGAAACCTTACAAATAATAAAAAGATTCACTTTTTACTGGGTTGCTAGCTCTATCCTTCTGAGTTTCTCACCCACTTACTACACAGAAGTGGCCATCTCATACCATGTTATGGAGGCCCTACAAGCATAATATTGAAGAACAATTCCGTAGTTTCCCCAAAGCTTCGGATTCTTATTTGACTCGGTATACGACGATTCAGTGTCATGGTGTGGCTATTCCACTGAAACATGCAAACCCAATGTCTATTACAAGCTATCCGTGTGCTGTATACAGCAGGTTTTTTATTTTTATTCTGACATCCCTTTCATTCCCTCAGATCAACGTTGAAGGAACTTTTCAGTATTTGTATTCATCCATGCTAATATAATAACTTCTGGTTCTTCTTAGGGAGAAACACATAAGAAGTCGTTGATTCAGAGGGTGTTTCAATCTGATAAGTACACGCTTACATCAACATAAACGTTTATCGGTAAAGATGTCCATCGAATGGGCATAAGACAGAGACACATCACTGACCTTCATTACGTCCTTAATTGTTCTAGTTAATATGGTGAGTGCACAGACAAGAATGAACGAAAGCAATCAATAAGAATGTGTGAGCGGATGAACTGACGACCTAGAAACTGGTTTATTTCTAGACCGCGCCGGCTAAAACGAAAGGTATTTGAAAGTCAGCAAGCCATGAGACAACAAAGATAGATGAAGAGAAAAACTGACGCTGGGGTAGGTTTTGCTTGATCGGCTTTTGTAATGGTGTTTTCGGTGTTGCCAGATTCATGGGACTGAAGCAGTCAACGGAAATTTCGCCTAAGTTATCAAGTGGTATTAAAGGTAGTCACATCCAACGCTTCATCCACAAATACTTCACACAGCCTTTCACCTCCTTGATTACCAAAAATGCAGGAAATGTACTAAAGAAGAACAGATTTATTCAAATATCAGTAGGCAACAAGAAAATTCACCGTGGAAAATGGCTATAAAACATAAGATTTCAAGGAGGTTGACTGTTTTTTTGCAGTAGAACAAGTACTTCTTCCATTGAGAGGTTTACGCATAATAAATGGATGCTTCATGGAAGACTGGTACAATTAATTCTGCAGAGCGCCTTGAACTTAGTAGTCTCGCAATATCATATTCTGCTGAGTCTTGTCTAAAGTTTGACAATTACAAGTGCTGATGGATTTGTATCGTTGACAGCAACCTTGACCCAACTCGTAAAGTAAATGAGCAAAAACTAGTCAAGCTCAACTCAGTCATAGATCGCGATATGACGTACTCTGGTAATTTAACGTTCTCCGAACAAACTAACTGTAACAGAAGTTAAACACGCAGGATCCTGGGGCGCATAACTTGTAGCTTTTTTATCATGAAACAAGGGTTCTGTTACATGGGGTATGTGTTCAGCCTACTTCAGAATACTACCTGTTTATTCTTAGTGGGGTGGGACAGAATGGCAAGCTTAAATTAGAGAAAGTTCAACGGCAGTTAACCTCAAGAACTCTTGTTTTAGAATGTAGTCTCGAAAACAATGAGCCTTGCGGCACACTGCAAATAGAACCACTCTAGAAGAGATGTCTTAAGCTAAACCTAATTTTCTACTACAAGCCTACCAATCTTCTCTTGCGCTCCTCCAGGCCAATAACTAAAT